GAATGAAGCGTCTCAGAACTAGAAGAACCTGATATCAGTTTCCAAATCTTGGTCAGATCAGAAAAAAATCCAGTTTCCAATAAAAACACATTTAAAACAAGTTCAGCTTGTGACCAAAGAGTTTCACTTACACAGTCGGGTTCATCGTCTGTCCAAATGTCAGAAATTCAACTTGTACCCAATTTTAAAATGTGACAAAACCAATTAAAAGAAAATCTGTGAAATATTTGTTCAATTGAAGAATATCTACTGAGTCCAACAAGTCTCTTATGTTTGATCCTAAAGGTGTCCATAAAACTCTGGCAGAAAAACACAATCTGTTTTTCTCAAATAACTTTATAAAGAATCCATTTAGAGTTATATAAATGTTGCTGTTGTGCATCTTTTGGCAATTTAAGTTAAGTTACTTTGAATTTAAATTTAAATTTAAGTTAATTTTATATCTCTATCTTCATAACTTTCCAAGATATGATCATTTTGTGAACATTTTTAGTGTTTTTTTTAATTTTATTTATAATTATTCAAAATCCACAAAGTCCAAAGATGAAATGAGAGACATAAAGTTTGTTCTTTCTGTCGTGATCATGAACTGTATAAAAAGTGGAGTAAGTGACGTCACCAGAACGTGAACACAAGTTTACAGAAAGAATAAGGATGTAATAATAAAAAAATAAAATTAAAATTAAAAAAAAAGATTTTTCAGCTCAGATTTCAGGCCACAGGCGTTAAACTCCAGAGGCTCAGTGGACTCAGTAAACATCAAGAGAATTTCATGAAATTTCTCGTGGAATTTTACTTTCGCAAGTGTAAAAAAAATTATACTAGATAAAAATGTATTTTCAAAAATGTTTCAAAAAGTTGGGTAAATGATGCTGTCTAATACTCAGTGAAATCGTTCAGTCCACAGTGTGTTTTTTGTGCTCTTCTGCTGTTCTGTTTATGTTGTTTGGGAAATAACATCTGTGAAAAAGTGTAACAGGACGGACCAGAGTCAGAAGGACCAGGTCAGGGTCTGTGGTCTGTGGTCCGGTCTGTGGTCCGGTCTGTGGTTAGATAAACAGATATAAACAGATAAACAGATAGATTTCTGTTTTTTGGGTCAGTGGTCAGGTCAGTTTGATAAATATATAGATATAGAGACAGAAGGTCTTTGGGTCGGTGGTCTGTGGTCAGTTCGATGGACAGATAGAACAGATATATTGAGTACTGACCTGGTTTTTGGGTCTGTGGTCTGTGGTTATATAAACAGATAAATAAACAGATATACTGAGTATTGATGTGTCCTCTGGGTCAGCGTTGGGGGGGTCACTGTGATTGACAGGCAGTGTTGGGAAGTTTACTTTTAAAATGTAATCCCCTACAGATTACAGATTACATACCCCAAAATGTAGTTTGTAATGTAATCCATTAAATTACTTGATATTGTCATGTTTTTTAAAAGGACATGAAAGTAACAACCACATCCTGAAAATTCTTGTTTGTTCTTTTCAAATTCTCTGTTGAGCCCAAGTCTCACTGAATAAGCGACTGTTTGTTGTAGAGAAACAAAGACCAGGAAATCTTCACATAAGATGTTTTGTTTTGTCTGTTAAAAGAAAATAAAAAGTCCAGTCTTTCCTTAAGCAAATAAACAATATTATTGATAGAGAAATGATTTCTATATGAGACACTGCTGCCGTAAATTATGTTCACACTACTGTTAGTGTCATTTTGTTTAGACCTGGTTTAGTCCTGGTTTAGTCCTGATTTAGACCTGGTTTTAGTCCTAGTTTTAGTCCTAGTTTAGTCCTGCTTTAGTCCTGCTTTTAGACCTGGTTTAGTCCTGGTTTTAGTCCTAGTTTAGCCCAAAATGTGAAAACAGGAAAATACCTCTGTGTAATCCATTTATTTCAACAAAGTAACTGTAATCTAATTACCACTCACTGAAACAGTAACTGTAACTGAATACAGTTACTCATAATTTGTACTCTGATCACGTAATCCCGGTACATGTAATCTGTTACTCCTGACACTGGTGACAGGTGCATGAGGAGGCTTCACTGTTGGAGCATCATTTGCCCAACTTTGTGAAACATTTTTGAAAATCAGTCTGTACCTAGTATCTTTTTTTTTTTTTTTTTTACAATTGCCAAAGTAAAATTCCATGAGAAATTTCATGAAATTCTCTTGACGTTTGCTGAGTTCACTGAGCCTCTGGAGTTTAACGCCTGTTGACTTAAATTTGAGCTGAAAAATCTGTTTCGTTTTTTTTAAAATAACATCCTTATTCTTTTTGTAAACTTGAATTTACCAAACCCTGAGCCGCACCTGTCACTGAGCCGCACCTGTCACTGAGCCGCACCTGTCACTGAGTGTCACTGAGCACCTGCACCTGTCACTGAGCCGCACCTGTCACTGAGCGCACCTGTCACTGAGCCGCACCTGTCTGTCACTGAGCCGCACCTGTCACTGAGACCTGTCACTGAGCTGTCACTGAGCCGCACCTGTCACTGAGAGTCCGCACCTGTCACTGAGACCTGCACCTGTCACTGAGACCGCACTGTCACTGAGCCACCTGTCACTGAGACGCACCTGTCACTGAGACGCACCTGTCACTGAGACGCACCTGTCACTGAGACGCACCTGTCACTGAGACGCACCTGTCACTGAGACGCACCTGTCACGCTGTCACTGAGATGACTGACGCACCTGTCACTGAGACGCACCTGTCACTGAGACGCACCTGTCACCTGTCACTGAGAGACGCACCTGTCATTGAGACGCACCTGTCACTGTCACTGAGACGCACCTGTCACTGAGACGCTGTCACTGAGACGCACCTGTCACTGAGACGCACCTGTCACTGAGACGCACCTGTCACTGAGACGTTCTGGTCACGTGTCACTTACTCCACTTTTTATACAGTTTATGATTGCGACAGAAAGAACAAACTTTATTTTCTCCCATTTCATCTTTGGACTTTATGGATTTTGGATCATTATGAAAAACAAAAACAAAAAAACACTCAAAATCTTAACAAAATTGTCATATCTTAGAAAGTTATGAAGATATAGATGTGAAATTTGTACCAAAAGATGCACAGCAGCAACATTTATATTCATTTTTCATTGACACCACGGCCCTAAATGGATTATTTTTTAAAGTTATTTGAGAAAAACAGATTTTGTTTTTTTTTCTGCCAGAGTTTTATGGACACTGTTAGGATGGAACTTAAGAGACTTGGTGGACTCAGTAGATTTTATTCAATTGAGCAAATATTCCACAGATTTTCTTTTAATTGGTTTTGTCACATTTTCAAATTTAGTACAAGTTGAATTTCTGACATTTGGACGGATGATGAACCCGACTGCACTGTGACCTTTGACCTCACATATAAACCCGAGACTTTATATTTAATTATGTTTTATTTTATTTGGACTTGTACATTTACATTTATATAATTATGTTTTATTTGACACGTGTCTCTTTTTGCTACTTATTTAGAATTTATTACCATTTATATTTTAACTCTTTTTTTAAATTATTTTTATATTGTGATGTGTGACTCCAAATCATTTCTCTTGTGGATCAATAAAGTTTGTCTAAGGCTGTTCTCTCTAACACCAGACCCCCTCTGCTCCTCTGACCCTCATCTCCTCTGACCCTCTCCTCCTCTGACCCTCTCCTCTGTCTCCTCTGACCCTCTCCTCGTTTCC